TTGGGCCTGTTGCAACGTGGTATAGCGTTGGACAGTGGATGATTAATATTGATTAATTATTACAACTATTTTACTGCTCTCAACTTCTGTTTATAAATGCCAGTTTTATGCAAATGAACCATTATAGCTATCCCTTGATAAATCCCTGTATCATATCCCTATTCCGGTATGACTTGCTAAGTACAGTGGGTAGTACTTTTATAATGTTTGTAAGACGTGGATCTGTATGTCAACTTTGTCGTTTGTGTACCCCGGCCGGTCCTGGACGGGGATTTTAATGCACATTCTGCTTGGAATTCTATTCGGGAATTTCTGGGCGTGACATCACACATCCTGTTTTACCTTTAATTTGACCTAAAACTGAAAACATTGCTGGATAATCGTTAATGGTCACGAAGATGATGGCCTCCACTGTGAAGTATTCCCTTGAGTACTCGTCCCACACTTTCAATCTATCTTTTCATAAATCAGCCATATCTTCCATCAATGGTTCAAGAAATACGTCAATATCAATACCAGGCTGACGGGGTCCCTCTATGAGGATACAGAGTAGTATGTATTTTCGCTTTTGACAAAGCCAGGTAGGAAGATTATACATGGTGAGAAGCACTGGCCAAGTACTATGTGAGCTGCTCATGTCTCCAAAAGGATTAACTCCATCAGTACTCAGGGCAAATCTAATGTTCCGTGGGTCTTTATCAAACTCTCTATACTGAGCACCAAAGTTTATCCACTGACGAGCATCTGCCGGGTGTCGAATCATCCCATCCTTCTTGCGCCCTTCTTCATGCCAGCGCATTAGTTCCGGATCTCACGGGTTTGAGTATATCCGTTTAATGCGGTCTTTGACAGGAAGGTACCACATCACAAGCTGCGGGATTTTTCTCTGTCGTCCCTCAGTTACTTCAGAGGGTTCTAGGCCAGTATTGCTATTCAACTTGTACCGGCTTGCACCGCATGTTTGACATTCATCTAAAGAAGCATACTCTTTCCTGTACAGTATACAGTGATTTACGCACGCATGAATCTTTTCCACACCAAGTGAAAGGGGGCATATGAGTTTCTTTGCTTGATATGTGCTGGATGGTAGTGAGTTAGGCCCCGGGAGCATTTTCTGCAGAAGTTCTAACAGACTGTCAAAACTGGTATCAGACCATCCATGTCTTGCCTTTAACCTCATAAGTTCAAGAACTGACCGGAGTGTTGTGAACTCACTGTCACAGCCCTTCGACTCATCGTACAAAACTTCCTTTGATGCCTTCTGTAAAGCTTCAAAGTTATTTAACCCTCTAGCCGACCCCATCAGCACCTCGGGTTCTGCATGACGTAACATTTCCTCTAGGTCGATTTTGTCCTCAATAGAACCATTGTCATGCACCATGTCTTCAACTTGTGTTGGAACTACATTTTCAGGCCCGTCCACTTGTTCTTCGCCATGACGTGTCCATATTTCGTACTTGTCCATAAATCCACGAGTTATTAAGTGCTCCTTCACTTTAAAAGCATCGTCAAAGTCCCAGGTTATTTCATTCTTACAGTCAGCACATGGACAAATTATCTTCCTCATATTGTTCTTCTCAGCGTGTGCCTTGGTAATACCAATAAATTTAGACACTTCGTTTCTATATGGAGACAAAAACCTCGGCCAATGATACATCCATTCCCGACTTTCCATATCTCTAAAAAAATACACGTAAAATATTTGCACAATTAATACTAAATTTGTAGGGTTTATTGAAAAAACTTATCGCTATTCAAAACTAATTAACTAAAGGTTAAGTGTAAATTAATAAAAAATCAAAGTTTATTTCAATTTTTTTTACACAGACATGCCTAATTAGTACATTAGGAAAATCTAATAAAATCATATCATCGGCATATTACAAAATACTATAACTATTTTTTGATTGCACCGAATAAATAGACATTAAAAATTTTATTCTCTCTCTATATATGACAAGATCTAGATCTAGATCTAGAACTAGGAGGTGGATGTGATAGCAAAAATAAAAAAAATTAAGAATTTATGTTACCACATTAAACCACTACAACAAGAGGCATCAAGTATTACACATACATCTAACATCAACATATCAAAAGAAATAAAATTAAAAAACATGGAGCTCTTCCTTCATAATTTTGCATGCATAAATCCATCACAAATTAAGGTCTAAAAGCTTAAAAAATTGCATACCTAGTGTGGAAATGAGTAGATCTATGTACCGTAGAAAAATCCCCCGAAGATTTAAAGTTCAAAACCTCCCCCCTATATTTAAGTCACTTTAGGAGAGAGAAACTTCGAGAAGAATGAACAGGGCTCGGGGAGAAAGAAGATTATATAGGGGTATCTTTTCAGGCGGGCCATATAAGCGGCGCCTGCGAAGATTGATCTCGCAGGCAGACCATATAAGTGTCGCCTGCGAAGATCGATCTTCGCAGGCGCACGACGCCTGCCGCTTGCGAAGATTGATCTTCGCGATCTTCGCAGGCGATGCTTATATGGTCCGCCTGCAAAGATCAATCTTCGCAGGCGGACCACCCCCTCCACCCCGGGTACATTTTTTGCCGGCGGGGTTTTGGCTCCGAATTACATACCCGCCTGTAAAAATCGATCCCCTACGACGCCGAAAATGAGTTTTCTAGTAGTGGTAGTAAACATGCATGTGTGCCGGCTGACCACCTTGCATGCTATCAACCGCTACAACTCCGGGAATGTTGGCTGTTGACTACTTACATAATCATTTCTCCGACCCAAGTATATTTCCATGCTTTCTGATCAATCCAACGCACAAAATCTTCGGTTCAGTGTCTCTGTAGCTAGCTATATATAGGCTTAAACTGTAGTCTCGTCGTCCAGAATGCCACTAATCGTGGCCCCCGTCGTTTATGTCCAGCGCAGTCCGAGGCCTATTATACTATGAAAAAAAAGGTCCGCTTTATTCCTCGCATGGAATTTCATTAGTGTCTCTTAAGTCTTAACCGTGAAACCGGGTATATACGTAATATTTCCAACTTTTAAAATTAGTGAAAATTGAGTATCTCGATGGTTTCGGCTGAGCATGTAACACGTTAATTTGATCTTCGTCCTACATAACGGCTACGCGACACTTACGTGACACAATAAATTTTTTTTAAAAAAAACATCAATGCCACCCACATGCCATCCCCTATTCTCCTCTTCCTATTCCCTCTCTCCCCACCTCCTCAACCCTTTCCCTTATCTCCTCCTTTCTCCATTTCCAGCATGAGAAGGCTGGGATACGGACAATAGACTACAATGGTCATGGAGGAGTCAGCTGAAGTGATAGGGATACGGCTATGCACTAGAGGAGCTGGCCGAGGCATCGGGGAGCCCTCTCCTTGCCACTAGATTAGGCTTTTATCATCCTGGTTGCTGTGGAAGGGGCTTAGAATGCTCCTAGGGAGACACTTCTTGGTGGACGCCAACGAAGCCGGTCACCGGATTGAGCTGCACCACCTACATTTGCTCCGACAAACCGGCGGAGCAAGACTAGGTGTTCATTGGGCTGTCGCATTATCATGATGAATCGGAGTCGTATTGGAACGTGCACACCACCTCATCGAGCCGCATGCAAGGAATTTGCTAATGACGACCACCACGCGCCGCCCACCTGCTGTGGATGGCAGGGGGGCGAGGCCGCGAGGAAGTGAAGGAGATGAGGCAGCAGGTGGAGACGGCGCAGTCAGCAAGAGGAACTAGAGAGAGAGATGTCACAGCTCATCGACGAGGGTATCTATAGTATAACTATACCACATAACCATGCTCCATGCTCTGATATAAATTTATATAATTTATGAATTGTATAATTTATTAATTTCAATGTGTGGGTGAGGGGTGCACATAAGTCTGTGCATGTGTTTTTTTTTTAAAAATAAAGACACAGATGGCTTCAATTTATCAAGGAAGAAGATATGCTAGTTGGGTCTTCTTTGGGCACGAGCACGAGCGTCATGAAAAAAAGAATGGCGGGCATCTGACACGTGACAAGGTTTCCTTGTGGTTCCGACTATCATAATAAGAAGTTTTCTTGGCGGTTTCATTGCAGCCAAGTAAAGATATATTTTTGTCGGTCCAAACAGATAAGATTACTTTTCTTGGTGCTTTCGAAAGTTGGCAATCTTCTTAATTTGCTTGGCGGTCCAACCGCCAAGAAAATATTTTCTTACGGTTAGCCGCCAAGAAATCGTAATATCCATGTCTTTATAGACTTTGCATGGTCAGCCGACGGAATAATTAAATTTAGCTGTTTTTGACCGCCAAGAAAATCACTCTAGTGCCTGAGTGGGCAAGGGAAAATTTAAAACCACTTAGCTACATAAGGTCATAAGCCATGCCACGCTCTTTTTAATTATTTATCAGATTATTGAAATTGATTACTTATTTCACATTTTTAAAATACGTTTTCTTAAAAAAAATTCTACTACTCGGACCACTAATCTTAAACTATCTATTAAGTTTATTTTAAATTATTCAATTTATTTATACAATCAAATATTTAATTGTATACATGAAGCTTGTGTGTATATATAGGATATATTCCCCATAAGGTAGAGGAAGCAGCTATTTACTTGCTGGCATCAAGGGACAGTGTCATCACTTTATTTTGGACGTATTTGCTATATCGCAAGATTGTCACTCCTAATGATACTAATTGGTAATTGCAACTTGGACGTTTAGACGACGCTACCTGATAATTCCAAAGTACGGGCACGTATATATGAACGATGGATATATCAATGCAGAACAGAATGGCATAATATTTGGCCAATCTTGTAAGGATGCGCACATGGACATAGAGATTTTCCACAAAACGTACGCCTACGTGTCCTCCTATCCCCTAGAGCGCAAGAGTATATAGCTCCACGCATACAGAGGTTTTATTACAACACTACTGCAAGTCAAAATATTGTCAAGGATCACAAACGTACTCCTACTCTCCAAGCAGCCTATATAAACCACCCGGCGTCGATATCCCATGCAACAAGCAACCAAAGCAACCTTAAGCTAGTAGCCAAACACAACACAAATTTAAACAGATCGAACGTAGTGGCAAGCAATGGCGGCAAAGATGGCGACGATGGTGGCTCTGGTGTTCGGCCTCGCGCTCCTCCTCTCCGCCGCCGCCCCGGCGGCCGCGCAGAACTGCGGCTGCCAGGACGGCTACTGCTGCAGCCAATGGGGGTACTGTGGCACGACCGAAGCATACTGTGGCCAAGGGTGCCAGTCAGGGCCGTGCTGGGGCAGCGGCGGCGAGGCCGCCGCCGGGATGGCGGGCAGAAAGGCCGGCGCCGGCGGCGTCGAGGTCCCGGAGAGCAACAACCGCTCTCGCTAGGGTGTCCCAGCGGCCGCCCCCTGCTCGCTTCCACCGGTTAATTTCGAAGGATAAATAAACGGCCGGCGCGCATAAGTGCTTACGCTGTAAGCGTGCATGATGCCGGCCCTGAACTCTAGCTTACATCAGCAAATAAGCTACTATACCACCACCACCAGTACTACCGTACTACTCCTATGTATGAGATCTCTCGATCGAACATGTTGAGTATGCATGTATCCTGTATATATGGAAATAAACCGAGAGATTAAATAAAGTCAATTTAGTGACTGCAGCTGTTGGAAAATTGATGAACTCAGGTGTATGTGTTCATGTGTTGTCCTAAATCATGTGCTTGGAGCCAGAGATGAGGCATGGTGTTGTTTGATCCTTCCATGCCAACACGCCGAGGGGAATAGGTAACTCGTAAACGAACACAAGCTGTGGGCTTCAATTATCAAAAAAGAAAGTAAAAAGTCCACTTTGACTCCCTTAAAAGTAGGCCGAATCTAATTCGTACCCCTCAACATAAAACCGGATAGAACGACTCCCTAAACTATTGAAACCAGTACAATTCAGCGGTTTTGGAGGGTGGTTTTGCTGATGTGCCGCTGATGTGGCGATGTTGAGCTGGTCATCATCCTACGTGGCATTTACGTGGCATTAGAATGAAAAATATATATATGGGACCCATTTGTCATTTACAATATATATATATATATATATATTGTGAGACCCACAGACATTTGGGGCCCACGTATCATCCTCTCTCTCTCCGACCCTTCTACCTCCTCCCTCTCTCTTCCTTATCTCTCTCTTTTCTTATCCCCTTCGGCTGCGGCGGTGACGGGCGGGATGATGGGTGCTGGAGCTGTGGCGGCGGCGAGCGGGCGAGGGCTGGAGCGGTGGCAACGGCGGGCAGGTTGCAAATTCAACCGTGCGGCATCTTGGATGACGATGATGATGCTGGCAAGTAGCAACAATCTCACAGTGAACAACGCAAGCTGATTAATGCAGTTCTCCACTCCAATGATCCAATCCAAACAAACTGTCAATTTCACACATAGAACACATGCACGTGCACCTCGATCGATCGAGCAGCTAGCTGCCTTACCTACGACCGAGTGTGGTGGCGGCGCGCCGCCGCCGGCCGCCACGCAGAGATGGCGCAAAGCGGCCTCTTGTGCCAGCAGAAGAAAAAGGCATGGCCGTACGACCCCACCGGCTCCATGCCGTCCGCTTTCATCCGCGCCGCCCACTGCCGCGCCCGCTCGTGCCGCTCCACCAGCTCCACCCCCTCGCACGCCACCACGCCACGAATCTCCTCCCCGAGCAGCACGCGCTCCTCTCTTGGTGCTTGTGCTCCCCTCGTTTGCAGGATGACCCAGGTGCGGCGCCGGCTCCGGCGGATTACCCGCTCCCCCGCCCTCGAGTGCGGCCAACCCTGAGTTCCCGACATGGTCCATGGCTCGCGCAGGCGGTAATCTATGATGAGAGTGGACGCCGGCGGCCGACGGCGTGCGATATGGAGGTTGCGCGCGGGAAGAGGCGAAATGCGATGCAGGGATTAGGGATTTTGGGGAGCCAAGGAAGAGGAGGGGAATCGGCCGACGCCCCGCTCCGGCCCTCGCCAGCTCGCCGCCGCCGCCACTCCAGTACACGTCGCTGCCATAGCCAAGGGGATAAGAAAAGAGAGAGATAAGGAAGGAGAGGGAGGAGGAAGAAGGGTTGGAGAGAAAGAGAGGATGATATGGCTGTGGGTCCCACAAGTATTTTTCCTATGTGAATGACAAATGGTCCCACATATATATTTTTAATTTTAATGCCACGTAAGCGCCATGTAGGACGAAGACCAGGTCAACATCGCCACATCAGCGCCACGTCAGCAAAACCATTCTCAAAAACCGCTGAGGGAGTCAAATTGCACTGGTTTCAATAGTTGGGGGAGTCGTTTTATCCGGTTTTCTGGTTGAGGGGTATGAATAAAGGAGTTAAAGTGGACTTTTTTCAAAAAGAAAAGAAAAAGGTCCTAATTAGTTGGGCCTTATTTGGGCTGTCCGAACACTTGCATCATGATAATTGTGGGCCTGTGGACCGTGACAATAGAGGGACCTTTACACGTAATTAATCATTTCTCCGACCAAAGTGCTTCCAAGTTTTTCGCTGATTCAATTTAGTGCACAAAATTAAATTTCAGTTGAGCATCTGCGTTTTCACTGCCCTGACTCTCTCATATTGCGGGTGCGGCCAAACGTGGTCCGTCCATCCGTGCATGGCCTTGTATGAACTAACAAAGGACGTATTACGTATAGTCTAGCGAATATACGATGAGTCTATCAAAATATATCATCAAAGAATTTGTCCTGATTTCTCTTAATAAGAAAAGAAAAATCTCAAAACACTTTGATGTCATTGATTTGGACTCAGAAAATCCAGACCGGACAGGCGGACACTACTACTTTGCTTACGAAAGAACTGAAAGAGGCAAAAGAAAGAGTTTAATTTTCTTACGGAGAGTGGATTTTCAAACTCTTTGTTTGTATGTCACTTAAATGGTCATAAAAAAATTAAAAAATTTTAAGAAGATATATTAATATGGGATATATCAATCTACAAACACGCAACTTAAAATTTAATTTCTACATGTCGCAACGGAAAAACAAATTTGACTGTGAATGTACGTTAACTAGCTAATGTTCAATTTGTTTTTTTGTTGCGAGATGTAGAAATTGAATTTCAACTTGCATAGTTTGTGTAGTGATATATCTCATATTAATACATCTTCTTTATTTTTTTATTTTTTTTTTCATAACCATTTGAGTAACATGCAAACAACGAGTAAACGTATTAAGAGTTTAGAATACTTTCCCTTTTCTTACAAAAGAACAGGAAGAGGCAAAAGAAAGAATTTATTTTTTTAGAATTATAGTATAAACACAGATACTCACAACACGCGTACGTTATCTCCAGCTGAATATGAATAGTCATGTCAAGTTTAAAATTTAACCCGGATAGGCTGCTGGTTACACCACAATGAACCTAATGAGTTATAAGCTATCTCACTTTACAAAGAGTTTAATTGTTAGAGTACATTTTTTCTATCATACAGAAAATTATTAACACGCAAGTAATCACTATTTACAATCTACAGATACCACTAAATTCCGTGGTTCACGGCTGGAACGGTGGATGCATGCCGCAAGGCAGCCTCTCGACTTTCGGTCTAATCCTGACACATGCACCATGTACATCTGCTCTTTGTTTTTTTGTCAATTGGGCATGGAATTCTTTTTATCATTCCGGTCGACAGTTGAATATGACGGCCACCATAAACCTTCATATGGAACTACACCAATATACGGCTACGTGGTAAGGAAAAATCCCCCGAAAGGATGACTTTCTCTTGCCAGCACTGCGCGACTTCGCATGGAATTCCACCGGGTAGACAGGTACCGGGTCGCAAACTTCCAGATTTAACTCTCTCCATTTTGGTGCTGCACTTGCGGTTCCCAGCTGCGGCGGCAACGGCTCGTGTCCTATGACTCCCTAAGTGTTGGAATATGCGGCGATTCTCGACTGATCTGCCTAGTCGCATGTACACGGCGGATGCCGTAGCGCTAGCTCGAGAACACGCTAGCTACTACTAGTAGTTCTCTCGCCCTATAAAAGCCGGACGCATGACCATGCTACACATCTCATCGACCATCACCTCTCCCACACGGGGCGTACGTGCTAAGCTGCAGCACAACCCAAAGCCATATATCTCCGATAATGGCGAACTCACCGACGCTGACAATGCTGGTGTTCCTAGCTATTGGGCTATCTCTCGTCCTCTCCGCAGCCGGCGTGTCTGTGGAGAGCGTGGTCACCGAGGCGTTCTTCAACGGGATCAAGAACCAGGCCCCGAACGGCTGCGCCGGTAAGAGCTTCTACACACGGCAATCGTTCCTGAACGCCGCCCGCTCCTACTCGGGCTTCGCCAATGACCGCACCAACGACGACTCCAAGCGCGAGATCGCTGCCTTCTTCGCGCATGTCACACACGAGACTGGACGTAAGCAAAATATACTACTCCTACATGTATATACCGGAAAGTATTTTCCCGTCGAGGAGATGTACTCTTATTTCTTGCATGTCACTAGAAAAAAAAATTAACAATAAAAATTTATACTCCACAGTATATATATTTAAATTCAAATTTGGCTTTCATATGTCGATCGTAACAAAAATAATAAATATAATTGATTAATGTCATATACTAGTTTCAGTTTATTTTTTCCGCTTACACAAGTTGAATTTAACCTTATATATTTGTGAATATATTTGTGAAGTGATATATTTCATACTAATATATCTTGTCAATTTTTTTTAAAAAAATAGCCATTTAGGTGATTTAGGTGATAAACAAGAAACAAGGAATGTTTTCTAGATGGACAAAAGTTAATCTCCTATATGTACATATAGTAGTATGCATGCGTGTAATTTGGTATGCAACTAACGATGATGATAATTCACTGGCAGATATGTGCTACATCAATGAGATAAATGGGGCAAACATGGACTATTGTGACAAGAGCAACAAACAGTGGCCGTGCCAGCCGGGCAAGAAGTACTACGGACGCGGGCCGCTGCAGATCTCATGGAACTTCAACTACGGGCCGGCGGGAAAGAACATCGGGTTCGACGGGCTAAGGGACCCAGACAAGGTGGCGCAGGACCCGACAATCTCTTTCAAGACGGCGCTCTGGTTCTGGATGAACAACGTGCACCAGGTGATGTCGCAGGGGTTTGGCGCCACCATCCGGGCCATCAACGGTGCGCTCGAGTGCAACGGGAAGAACCCCGGTGCCGTCAACGCAAGGGTAAACTACTACAAGGACTACTGCCGCCAGTTCGGCGTCAGCCCGGGGGGCAACCTCTACTGTTGAGTTGCATGCACACGCTGCTCGGCTCATCGTGATCGACTGAATAATGAACAGAGTAATAATAATGAATAAAACGTTTGGTGCGTACGTACATTGCATACGTGCACGGTACGTACATGCTGGAAGCTAAGTGACGTCAAAGAGTTTAGTACTAAAAAGTGATCTTTCTATTCGATGTTACTCTATCTTAGGGCGGAGTAAGTATAAATGTGTAATAAGAAATAAAATGTTAGGATCGCGGGATCGAAAGATGAGTAAACATGTGTACCGGTGGACCACTTAAATAATTATTTCTCCAACCCAAGTACTTTCATGCTTTTCCATGATCAATTCAATACGTAAAAATTTTCCGTTGAGCGTCTATGTCGCCCTCTATAGCAGGGTTTCTCTATTGTCTCACCGTTCATAAGAAAGAAGTTTATTTTGTCTCCCTCAAATACGACTCAATCTAATCTATATCTCTCAATGACAAAACTAGATATAATCTCTCAACTAAAACATATCATTTTGCGTCAACGAGTGGTTTTAAATATGGTTTATGACACTTGCATGATATTGCAGTAAATAACTTCTTTTTCATATTGATGTGGCACTTACTTGATATAATTCTTTAAAAAAAATGTGAGACACATGCGTCGGTCACATGAAAATTCTAAAAAAGGAAACACAACCACCGCTAAGGCATCCTCATGAGGAGTAGCATCTCGCAGCTAAGCCGCTGCTCCTGCAACTGAAATAGGTAGGATCGATCCACTTATCTTGTTCTTGACTGCGTCCTCACAAATGAAAAAAAAAATTCCTGCAAAGATTATAACATGTTCAACAGCAGCCAATCATCCCATCTTGTTGCAACCTGCAAGAGATCATCAACATTAATCTCTTCATGCCTATTCCCCAAATCCAGAACATGCCCTGCACCTATCAAAAAGGTTCTTGCGTCCTGTAAGAACGCGTAATGGTAGGTGGGTGAGTGCATGTCTGTCTATGTGGACTGAGTGGCGGATGAGGACACCGTGTGGCAGGAGGAGGAGGAGGGGCAGAGTCGCTGAATATGATCCAGACGACGTGACCGATGGTATTATAGCGGTGTATGAAGGAAGCCGAGGAGGCCACCAGCTCACCACCAACTTACGAGGAAGATGCATAATCATACCTATAAGTGTGTTTCCTTCTAATACATGCCCAACGAAGTAGAACCATCAGCAGATCCTTGACCTACGCATGCACTCACGTTTGTAACATTTATGTGCACCAAATTTAAATTTGGTGGATAGAGTCGTGCACCACGGGCTTGTTCACTTTGATACCATTTTCAACCATACCATTTGTAGCAAAGTTGCCAAAAAATATCTACATTTAGTTTGTTGCCAAATTTGGTCAATACATAAGAAATCCTGCCAAAATTTTGGCAATATTGTCATCTTGCCAAAATTTTGGCATTGCCAAAACTTGGTAAGATTTGTTTTCGTTACAATCTAAACAGGCCCCACGACTACCATTAATGCTTTCCCTTGTAAAGTACAACGTGATCGAGCATACTCTACACATCACTAGTACGTGCACCCACTGTTGAAGCTAGCTAATTTCATAAACACAAACTTAAGCTATGCATGATGACCTAGTTTTACTTAACAGAACAAAGGTGGTAATGCATTGATCGGTGCTCGATGAAATCATGAGTGCCACCTTTAGTCGTGGATGTAGTGGTCGATGTGGTGTGGTAGCAAGATGCACTGGTGGAGAAACCATCTTTCGTCGGTCGGCCGATTTCCACAATAGTCCCGGATACAATAAAAACCAGGGCTAAAGATGATCTTTAGTCCCGGTTCAAAAGGGAAACGGGCATATTTGATCTTTAGTCCCGGTTTGTGTTACCAACCGGGACTAAACATCATCTTTAGTCCCGGTTCGAATGCTGTCAGGACCTGTCAGGCCCCACACCAACCGGGACTAAAGATCTTAACTTTAGCCCCGGTTGGTATTACCAACCGGGACTAAAGATCCCGGTGATCTTTAGCCCCGGTTGGTGTTACCAACCGGGACTAAAGATCTTAACTTTAGTCCCGGTTGGTAATACCAACCGGGACTAATGATCCCGGTGATCTTTAGCCCCGGTTGGTGCTACCAACCGGGACTAAAGTCCCACCCCTATATATATGTCTTCTTCCTCCTCCAGCTGCCCGAGCAAGCTTCAAAATTACTTCAAAAAAGAGGGGAGGTCATGCCAAAATTTCTATTGAATTTATTTTGGTGATTACATACAAATCGGAGGTGCCTAAAAGGTTTGCAACTTCATCCTCCAATGTTTTTTTTTGTCATACTACATTTGCACCTATGTTTTGCACACTTTTTTTTGTCTCCAAAATTTAGTTGTAAGTTGATGAGAGAGAAAATGTGTGTGGGGAAGAAAGAATATATAGAAATTTAGTTCATTTGCTAAACAAGGTTTTATAAAATAGTTGAGAAGGAAAACTCTAGTGAAAGTTAATCTTAAATAATAGAAAACAAACTAAAATGAAAATTAAAAGAAGTAAAACACATTAAAATTAGTTTAAAACTTTACAAATAGTTTTTAAGAATTATTTGGTGTAATATTTTATGATTTTTGTATGAATAAAGATATCTTATAATTATTGTATGACTGTCATTATTGTAAGAATAATTATTTGTGTGCGGTTTTTTTGACTCATGTAGATGGATCGGCAATGGATGTATGCTGACCGGCGGTCCAAAGAGTTTATTGACGGCGTGCACCATTTTTTGAGAGTGGCCGAAGCTAACAGGCAAAGGGGTTTTATTTGTTGTCCATGCAATAAGTGTAAGAATCAGAAGGAGTATTCTGCATCCAGGACTATTCATTTCCACTTGTTTGAGTCGGGGTTCATGCCAAGCTATAATTGTTGGACATCCCACGGAGAGCAAGGTGTTGAAATGGAAGAAGATGAAGTGGAAGACGACAATATTCCGGACTTTGCTCAGTATGTTGGATTTGAAGGAAATCAAACGGGCGAGGAGGAAATAGCTGCTGATGGTAACGACGTTGCGGATGATCTTGGTCAGATGTTGCAGGACGCTAGGGAGGACTGCGAAAGTGAAAAGGAGGCCCATAAATTGGACAAGATGTTGGAGGACCACAGAACTTCGTTGTACCCAGGTTGCGAGCAGGGGCACAAAAAGTTGGATACCACTCTGGAGTTGTTGCAATGGAAGGCAAAAAATGGGGTTAGTGACAAGGCATTTGGCGATTTATTGAAACTCATTAAGAACATTCTTCCGGGGGGAAACAAATTGCCCGAGACAACGTACGAGGCTAAGAAGATAGTCTGCCCGTTAGGACTGGAAGTTCATAAGATTCACGCATGTCCGAACGATTGTATCCTATATCGCGGTGAGGAGTATGAGAACCTAGAAGCATGCCCTGTTTGCAAAGCACTACGATACAAGATTAGACGGGACGATCCAGGAGAAGTTGACGGGCAGCTAACAAAGAAGAGAATTCCTGCTAAGGTGATGTGGTATTTCCCTATAATACCACGGCTAAGGCGTTTGTTCAGGAACAAGGGGAATGCTAGAATGTTGCGATGGCACGCTGAAGAGCGTCAACAGGACGGGATGCTGAGACACCCCGCCGATGGTTCGCAGTGGCGAAACATCGACAGAAAATTTAAAGAATTTGGAAAGGACGCACGAAACATACGGTTTGGTTTGAGTACGGATGGCATGAATCCTTTTGGAGAGATGAGCAGCGGCCATAGCACTTGGCCCGTTACGATGTGTATCTACAACCTCCCCCCCTGGCTATGCATGAAGAGGAAGTACATAATGATGCCGATTATTATTCAAGGCCCCAAGCAACCTGGTAACGACATCGACGTGTACCTAAGACCACTGGTCGAAGATCTTAAACAGTTGTGGAAGAAGGAAGGTGTCCCCGTGTGGGACGAGGACAAACAGGAGGAGTTTAACCTACGAGCGCTGCTGTTCGTAACCATCAACGATTGGCCTGCACTTAGCAACCTATCCGGACAGTCCAACAAGGGGTACAAGGCTTGCACTCACTGTATGGATGAAACAGAAAGTACGTATCTTAAGCACTGTAGGAAGGTTGTATACATGGGTCATCGTCGATTCCTTGCAGCAAACCACCCGGTACGGAAGAAAGGCAAGCACTTCGAACATAAGGCCGACCACCGTACGAAGCCTAAACATCGCAGCGGGAAAACAGTGTTTGCTATGGTTAAAGATCTTAAAGTAGTGTTCGGAAAGGGGCCTGGAAGCCAGCATATAGAGAGCGAAGATGGTCACGCGGCGATGTGGAAAAAGAACTCTATATTTTGGGAGTTACCATATTGGGAATTCTTGGACGTACGCCACGCAATCGACGTGATGCACCTCACTAAGAACCTTTGCGTAAACCTTCTTGGCTTCCTAGGTGTATACGGAAAGTCGAAAGATACACTGGAAGCACGTAATGATCTGAAGCATATGGAACAACGCGGCGACCTTCACCCGGAACCAAAGGAGAAAGGAAGCCATTACTTGAGTCCAGCCAGCTACACTCTTAGCAAGGCAGAGAAGGAAAGTATGTTTGAATGCTTGGAGAGCATAAAGGTACCGTCTGGATACTCCACGAATATCAAGCGAATAATAAGCACGAAGGAGAAGAAGTTCACAAACCTAAAGTCTCATGACTGTCACGTGTTGATGACACAACTGCTACCAGTTGTAATAAGGGGTATCCTTCCAGACAATGTCCGGGCAACAATAACAAAGATATGTGCATTCATGAACGCAATTTCACAGAAGGTCATCGATCCGGATAGATTAGAAGCCCTTCAGAATGAAGTGGTGCAATGTCTCGTCAGTTTTGAGTTGATATTTCCACCTTCATTTTTCAATATAATGACGCATCTGCTTTGTCACCTTGTGAAAGAGATCCGTATTCTCGGGCCTATGTACCTACACAACATGTTTCCTTTCGAGAGGTACATGGGCGTTCTGAAGAAGTATGTTCGTAACCGTGCTCGTCCAGAGGCAAGCATCGCCAAGGTTATGGAACAGAGGAGGTCATCGAATTTTGCGTAGAATTTATCGAAGACCTTCGCCCAATCGGGGTACCTGAATCACGCCATGAAGGGAGACTACGGGGAAAGGGAACTCTCGGAAGGAAAGCAATAACGACGGTAGACAACAATTTATTCCGTAAAGCCCATTTCACTGTTCTGCAACACTCTTCATTGGTAGCTCCTTACATCGAGGAGCACTTGGCTCTAGTTCGCGCAAGGAACATCGGTAAGTCCGATGCATGGATTACACGGCATCACATTGATACTTTCCTCGCGTGGCTACGACAACA